TGCTGGTTGTTCCACACTCAGCTCTCTAGCTTCCCGCTTGCCACCGCTGCCTTCGAGACGCGGATACGAAGCTCACTGTGTAACTGCTGGTCAGTCGAGACCACACCGCCAAGGTAGTAGAATCTGGAGGTTGTTTCCAATACTTTAGCACCAATGCTGTATGGCGGCAACGGTAAAGCTTACACCTCCGGTGAACGCTGCAAGTGACATACAATTTAGCTTGTGTTGATGGTGAGCCCGAATTTGGCCGCTTGTCGACGCCAGAGCACTAATCATGTGCTGCAACGCGGCCGCGCTGTGTGCAAACAATGCACGGCCGTCAGTAAACAATAACATATGGATAGTTGTCCCACAGACTAGAGTACTCGCACTGAAACGACGGATGTTCAGCAACCCACCATCAATACGGTGCTCCACACGAACACCGTGAACACAAGCCGCATCACAAGCACAAGATATCATTGCATGAAGATATATATTAAACAGGGTAGGAGCTAAGACGCAACCTTGCTTCACACCAGGGGCAAATGCCAAGTCATCCGAGGTCTCTCCACTTAGCTGCACCCTCGCCCGCATACCACTTTGCAGACATTCAATTAAACCTACAAAATTACGCGGGCAACAAAACTTATCTAACACCAAGCACACTTCCTCGCGGTTCACCGTATCAAATGCATTGGGGAAATCAACAAATAGTGAGTACGTCAACTGGTGTCGTTAGCTACTTATATCTACACAGCCACACAAATCCAGTAGGTTACTGGTTGACATTCTACCTTTTTATACGACTATAATCTCTGCCTGTTTGTGTCCTCATTAGTTTACTTTGCTAGATGTGCCCCGCCGTGCCAGGAATACAGCCATTAGTTATTTATTTACTTATATCGTGGATTTTCCGGCGTTACGCAAAACCATAAATGCCTTTTGGAAGCCAAGTTTCCTTATAGTTAGCCCCTATGCGCATCGCGACTATGATTTGCTAATGTACGCAGCCTCAACTACAAACTAGACCAGAGACCTTTGTTTACTTTTACTCATCAGCCAGACAAGTTTTCCTTCACTGAGACTTGGCTGTCTCTGGAAACTGTAGATGCGGGAATAGTATTTCAGGTATTTTACTCTATCGAGCTTACCTTCCCACTGGGCGAGCTGGAGGTGGTTATATTCTACTCGAAGACTTGCCTCATGTTTCACTTCATTAAGGCTAACTACAATCGTGAACGCGTTTCAGCGGTTCTATGGTGCATGATCAACTACAGCTATCAACTGCTGACGATGGTGTGGCATACAGAGCTCCATCGGGAACTGGTACTCGTCTGTTGCAATCGGTAAAAACTAATGCCTGAGGTAGAAATGCTCTGCTCATGGGTGACTTTCATGCACCCAGCATCCACTGGGAGCTTCTTCACGATGATCTTCCCAAGGATTCATTCGAAGCGGGCCTGCTCGGAGATATCCATAACTGCAACCTGATTCGGCATGTCAGATCACCGACACGCATGCGCCGTGGTCAAGCGCCTCCCATTATTTTCTAGTGCTCACCCCGCGCCGTAGGACGTCAATGGCCTGGAGACCATTCGTCCACTTGGCCAAAGCGACCACCGCACCGTTTACTTTTTGTGAACATGCTGTGTCAGCATATATGACCAAGGGGCATGCCGGCATAATTTATGGCGTGTTGTTCCACCTAAACTGCGAAAAGTATTAGGTACTACAAACGGGAGTATACCCCAATTCTTGAAGCTCGACGATGCATGAAACCCACTCTATTCGAAGTTGATGACGGTCATCAAGCAAGCTGTCCCCAACGCCCAAGTTAGACTTGACTCCAAAGGTCCTATTTGCATGGAGCGCGAGCTAGGATCCGTTACGAACAGCCGAAGAAAACTGTGGAATCAATACAAGTTTACGCAAGCTAAATCTGACTGCCTAAAGGACAATGTAGTCAGAAACCATTTTACGCTTGGAAAGCCAGAGAGGGGGTAGATACGCATATAGCCTGCCTTTTTAATTCCGCCGCTGTCCTAAGACATGCTTCACTTATATTAGGCGAAACACCAAGGCAGGCATCGGCACTCCTGCCCTACCACCTCATGACCTAGACGCTGTTCTCTATGGTGATGATGAAGAAGCTCAGCTTCTAGCCACCTAGTATTTATCGGCTACTCCGTAGAGTCCTCGCTACGCACTGATGAGCTGACGGCGCACTGTCCGCCGATGGAGCAAGTCGAAAGCACCCCTGAGATAGTCTTGAAAATACTACACCAAATAAACCCGAATTCCGCTCCAGATCCCGACAAAACCATTTTCAATATTTCTCAAAATAGCAGCTGAATAAACAACTGAGCCAATGTGTCAAGCTTTGCGTTGCTCGCTCGCAAATGGCCGCTTAACATCTGCTTGGAACATAGGCATAGCAATGCCAGAATATAAGCGAGGCAGTTGGCACGAACCTGCGAACTACCTGCTGCTATGACTAACGTCTGTCTTTTGCAAGATCATGGAAAGCATCTTGAAGCGTGCCTTACACGTACACTGCGAAATCAGTTGCGTTAGCTCTCCTACCCAGCATGGAGCACGGTCTTGCATAACAATTTAGCTTGTTGCTAATGAAGCATGGGCCAGTGCAGTAGACGAGAGAAGACACCTAGATGTTGCCTACGTCGACTTCAGCAAGCCGTTCCATAAAGTTCCACACAAACTAAAACAGCTTAAACTTCAGCCGCTTGCAGTCAGTGGAAAGGTTCCATCAGGGATAGAAGACTTATCCTAGCTCGAACCATTACAGAGAAAGGGAGCCAGACGCTACCTGCCCAAGTACATATCAGTACTGGAGTTCACAAGGCTGGGTCCTCAGGTCTGAGCTCTTTTATTCTCTACATAACCTGCACGCGCCACTTAAAGCGGGTAGATTTATCTACGCGGACGACCTCCAGCTGTGGTCACAAGCATCCAGGCGTGAGTACGCTGACATGCTGCAAGCATAACTTGACCTGCTGGAAGACTGGTCTCTCGGATGGGACCTGTTAACCTTGGTAAATGTGGCTTTCTCCCCATTGGGAACTTGGTTCCGTTCGGTTTATGTCACGTCGCGGGCTACCTACCGCAGGCGGTCGGTCACGAAACAGGAGCTTGGAGTAATTGTTGCACCTGACTCCAGAAACTCGGTGGACACATTAAGAAGGCCGCGGCTTCTAACAGGATGCCAGAAGCTCTAAAAGAGTGTTTACTCAAACCTAGCCGGAGTTCTTCAAATTCGTGTTCATTTCACGTTCGCTTAATCTTTCCAACCGCTTTTCCCATCGCGAAACATAAATGCGCCTTGTTAAAAGAGTTTCAGAGGCGTGGCTCGCAATCCTTCTCTGCGATTCACGACACCTACTACCTTCTTCGAATTAAGTAGCGTGACTTGTTACCCCTGGGGTATCGCCGCTGTCAATACGGATTTCATTTATACCAGACATCCGGAGGGAAAGAGTTGGGACGGACCTACAAAGACTCTTTTGACTCAAAGTGAATAACTCGACATGAGGTTACAAGCTGAAGCTTTGCAAACTAAGCCTAATTTTTGTGCAGTCCGAAGCTGCCCTATCTACCCTGTTAGTGAACCATTGGAACAGCGTACCAGAGAAAGCAAGTGATGCACAGACTGAAGAACGTTTTAAACGACTGGAAAATTGACACTGTTGAGTACAGCGGGTTCCTCCTCCCTATTCTGCAAAGACGACGTTCTCCAGAAGCGCGAAGGCTCGTAAACAGGGGCAGTAATCCCGCAATGAACTGAAAAGAACAGAGTTGACAAAGGTCTCCCTTCCTGCACTCTGCCCACCAATGAACCACTGTGAACCGAAAAACCACGAAGGCTACACGACCCGGGTGGTGAAAGAGTGGAACAGTCTACCAAAGTAAATTGTTGTCTCAACTTCAAAGGAAGCTATAAAAAGTATTTAGGACAAACGTTTCATGAAGAAGCTGGGATCCAGCTGCTCCCACAACAACTGTGACGAGGGGGTGATGGAGCTGACAAGGGTCTTCCCTTCTGCGCTCTACAACTCTAGAACTCTATGAACTCTCAGAGCCCACGAGAAAGGTCGTCACACAACGACGCGAGGCCATCCCACATGTAATGGGAATGAACGAAGCTGACATAAGTTCTCACTGCGCTCTACAACGCAGTGCATCAATGAACCAATATTGGCACAAGCTTTGCCTAGAGCAGCACTTGAACAAATTTCTACAAGTAAAAGCATATATCCCTAAAAGTTATGAGGCAAGCAAACAAAAATTAACGCAACTAAATCTGTACCACACGTTTAAAGGAAAAAATATTATCGTGTCAAGTTTACGATCTTCTTCTAGCGACATTTATATAAAGCACTACTCAAACTCAGTTTTAAATAATTAGTTGGCGCGGAATGTTGTACCGTTTCGCTCAGCTGTGTTAGAAAAAAACTTGCATTTGAGAAACAACGATCATGCTGACAACACAGGTGATCTTGCTACACGAAAAATTGCACAACACTGGTTGCTGAACATTAAGTTGAACACTTGCATTATTCAAACAATTACATGAAAATAAAAGGTAACTAATGTACGGAGATGCAACAGATATTCTATATGGTCTATAGAACAATGTTACCAACGTCCGAGACGCATAACATGAGAAAACATCTCATTTCACTCCATAGCCTTTTTGGTTAAATGCAAATATTGTACCATGTTAACTACATTTGCGTTACACCATATTAAAGTTAGCTGTATCGCGGTTCTAGCTGTGCGTTGAATGCACAGAGTTTCTGCTGCGAATTTCTTTTTAATTGGTGCTAACCGCAGTTGTCCGGGATTCCCATCGCCGTGCAGTAGCGCAATTCATATATTTCTGCTGTTCTCTGTCGCTAGTAGTTTTCCGTCCATATAATGTTTCAGACCACTTCTTTAAATTCTTCTGTGTAGTCGTCATCATTTATGGTGTTGGTGATGATAAGTGCTGTGTTCTCCTGATCAGGAACCTTTCGGTGCTAACCACATTGGTGGTTTTCTGCTGAAGAATCTGGTTGGTGAGAAGGATTTGGATGTATTAGTTTCTCCAGACCTAAGAACAACTCAGGACACGTTGCGGAAAATAGCATCTGCCAACAGCATACTCTCTGCCATACGAAGGTCGTACTACCAATTGACTCTGCAGAACTTCAGGTTCCTATTTTCTTCCAACTTTCGTGCAATACTGGAATACGGCCTACCTGCCATACGCCTTCTCACGAAATTTTAATGTGATTTGATTGAGAAGGTTCAGAAGCGCGGATCCAAGTCTGTTTCTATGCTACGTGTTTTACCGTATCCCTTCGTCTCCAATGTATGAACTTATTTACTCTGGACTACCGCCGTTGCCGTGGTGATCTGATTTATACTAGACGCATTTTGGGAGGAGGTGCTGCAGTTCTTCCAGCTCAACACGGATTGTTCAATACGAAGCCACAGCTTGAAACATTTTAAACCTCCGAGAAATCACATCCGGTCCGATATCGCGTTATCCACACGGGTTGCTAATGAGTGGAATGATCTCCCGGAATGTGTGCTATGTGCCCAGACAGAGGAATGTTTTAAAAAACGATTGGACAAGTACATGCTGAGCATGCCTGGATTCAGCTGTTTTGACTGCATCTGCAGCAATCCCTCGGGGAACACAGTTTAGCAACGACATGTCATCCAGCCAATGAACGGGAGGTGATAGAGCTGGCACAGGTTTTCCCTTATGCTCTTTACAACTCTATGAACTATGCTAACCTTACCATGGAGAGTGGAAGTTATACTACAGAAGACGCGGAGAAGGCAGATGCTGCTGCATGTCTTTCAGATTCAGCTGGGACTGGAACAATACGAAGATCCTTTGAGTGTTCCTTCTTCAGCGGATCGTTGATCCAGGACATGATAAAGTGCTAGGAGGTCTTGATAGATGTAAAACGAAACGCCCGAAACACACCCTGGTCAACCAGTTGCTGCCCACGTTCCCTGCACTAGCAGTCCCTGCTGCGTAGGTCACGTGGAGTAAGAAAAAGTAGGATGAAAATGGAAGGGAAATGAAGGTCATTTGAATAAAGTATAACACCAAAGAGTGAAGAGAATGACAGCATATGAACTAAAAGTTGGAAGATAGATATGGTCAGGAGAAAAGAAAGGTTTCGTGTTACCACCCAAGAGCGTCTAACTGACGCTCGAAACCCTTAACCATAGGTTCACTGACTACACTTTCTGGAAGCGAGTTCCAGCGCTCGATAACTCTACGCGATAACCGAGTTTCCGCCTTTATCCGGTCAGAACGCGGCTTGTGTAGCTTCAGATGATGACCGTGAAGACAAGGCAATCTAGCCGGGCTAAATAGCCAGCCTAATTCCTGTCCAAGCTTCCACCACCACCACCGTGAGCCTTTGATTTTCGGCCGCATCAAAAACAAGAGTATCCTGACAACGCAACTTCTTGTAGTATGACGTCGGAGTTCAGCAAAGTCTTCAAGTCCTAAAACGTCCGGCCGCTTCGAGACAGCGAAGCGGCACAGTTCGTCACGTTTGTTCATTAGGCTGCACACGTTGGCGAATGCCACACGGAGGTCCTGGGACATACCGTGGGACGTGCCTGGAAGTTGAGCAACCTGTTGATACGAGTGCGTACACCCTTCTTGATCACTTGAAAATCTACAATTTGTAAGTCATCTTCACGTTCTTCTGTACGGCGTTTTTGAGCTCAATGACCGCAGTCTTCAAACGATCCCTGTCTTCGGGTTCCAAGTCTCGGCGAATTTGAATCTATATGCCTTTCAGTTTTGACAGACGAGATAGCATAAGTTGCGGCATATTGTGATTTGCAAATTTGTTTATCAGAGGTGGACATGACTGGTTTGTTTTCTGGCCAAGTCGCACTACTTGTTTAGTTGTCACACATCTTCGCACAATAGCCAGCTGCTTGACGGTTTGTTGTTGACAAAGTGTAGGCTCCTTGACCCTGAATGTTTGCTTAGGGCATCATGTTTTCAGTTAAGTCCCCCTTCTCTCCATAAGTCGTTGTGGTTGTATGGCAGCGAAACATCAGGTCAAATGGCTGATATACTGCTGTTTATGATGGTGATGATGATGATGGCCAATTCGCATAGCTGAAAGGCACTGGCTGTCCATCTTCGACAGTGGATGTGTGAGGAGGTTCGCTCCTGCCTGTTGTGAATACCAAGTTCACAAGGACGTCTCATCCTTGGGAATACGAGCTACTCCTTCAACAAGCTGGTTTTGCTGCACCAGTTGAGGTTGCTCTGTCACGCTCTACGCATGTTAGCCACGCGTTTACCTCGCCGCGCCCTACTCGCTCCTACAGGATTGGGCTGGAGGCGACCGCGCCATGCTCAGCCTTCCACTTGACAATAACACAAACCGGCCATGCCCTGCTTAGTTGCCTTCGGACCCATACGCCTTTCTGGCTGGGGACCCATGGATAAAGATCGTCCATGGCTCAACACGCTTGAATAAATGATTTGATATGGTAGTCTTTGGGATACCTATATGTTTCATTGTCTTACTTCGTTTGTTTAGTGTTACAAACATTGAAAATGACAAGAAAGAAACAACATAGGCATGTGAAAGAAATGTTTCGTTTTTTAACAATACCTGTACCCGTCAGTTCCCATGGTTTTGGCGGCTTCATGTCTATTCCTCAGACTACCTCATGCTGGGGTTAGTGTTTCATTAATTATGCTTCTTTATCGCAGCTGGGCTAGAGTGGTTTGCACTTACGCATCTTCCGCGTTACGCTCGATTTGACTGAATTCATTTTATTTTAACCGCTCAGTTCTATTAATCCTCCACGTATTTACTGTTTGTTTTCAGACCATACTAGCAGCAGGCAATTCCTCATGTAATTCTAGTAACCAACATAGACATTGGATCTTTTCCTAGTCTCTGGAACTTATCGAAGCTCGCTGGCACATTCCGGTTGGAAGCGAACACCATGCGACTCGCAAAAACCTCCGGGCAAAACTCCGTGCTAGCCTGAAGTGACTGCGAATCATGCTGGTCTCATCGTGCGTCAGAGATGGAAGTGGTCGCTGCCCTTGGTAACCTTCAAAAGTTATTCTGTTTGATACGGGAAACTGGCAGCAGACCTGTTGTTAAAGAAGCTGTACGTGACGAGAGTGGATGGCCTATCCACAACTTGTCAAAACGTATAGTATTGGGCATAGCACTTTGAAAAGCAATTTAATTGGTCTTAATTGTCAGATTTCTCGCCGGCAACTGATCACTCTGCTCCTTCGGCTCACCCTTTGGACCCACCCTCGCTCAGAAGTCGAACTTGAGAGCAGACTGCGGAAGTTATGTAAAGCCGGGGACCAAATGATTCCCCTGCAGCCCTCTTCAAATTCAATGGCTCTTCTCTTGTGGATAATTTACACGAGTTACTAGTGAAACTGTGGAAGCAGGCAACTGTCCCGACAGACTGTAGCCACTCCGTTAGAGTTTTAATTTTCATTGGAGGCTCACGATCGGAATGCAGCAACCATAGAGGACTCCATCGCCTCCAAATTGCTTGATTCTGTCATCCTTCACAGACTAGCTGGCACACGTGAAAGTCAGATTTGCGAGAAGCAAGCCGGGTTTCATCGAGCTCGAAGTAGAGGCTGCATCGACCACGTATTCACTTTGCGTCCGTTGTCGAAGCACCGTCATGTATTGGCGGCCCGCCGTTATGTTCCTTGACAGTAAAGGTGCGTTTGATTCGGTGGATCGGCATGCCCTTTGAAACTGTATATTCAGGACAGGTGTACCCTAGAGATATGTAAATATACGAACGTTATACGCGCGTAGGTTGGACAGCGCGAAGGCTTACGGCAAACTGTTGCCGCGTTTGAATATTTACAGTGGTGTGAGACAAGGATGGCCGCTGTCACCTTTCCTTTTTAATTTCGCTATTGACGAAGTCATGTCATCGCGTTCACAGGACACGACTTAGAAGGTTTGGAGCCGCTCCCGGGCGAATTCTTGACTTGCAGTATGCTGACGACATTGCTCCCAAACGTGCAAAGCGGCACTGGACAGATTAGCACTGGCTGTCAGCCGTTTCGTGCTTTGCTTTGCACCTTCGAAATGCAAATCTTTCCCCCAAGGTAGGCAGGGAATGCCTCCTGCGCAGACCCTTGGTGTGGATCAGCCAAACGTCGTTCAAAAATTCATATACCTGGGAAGTTGTATCACCGCCCTTTGGATCGAAGATGAGGTCACGAACCGAGGCGATTTTACTAACCTTCGCCAACTACGGCGCCGGCGCGACGTCACTGTCGCCGAAGGACAGTGTCTACAATGAAGCCGTCCGTTCAACTCTACTGCTGTGAAGCCTGGCCCATTAGATCAGCCGACGTAAAGAGGTTACTACGTTCGACCAGCGGTGCCCTGGCAGTTTGGCTCACATCTGGTGGGAATACCGCGTGAGCAGCGAGTGTGTTCGACCCCTCGTTTAATACACAGGAAGAGGAACTGAACCGCTCAGCACCATCCTTTCACGCACCAGGCTCCGATGGTCACGCGTCGCACACTCCAGCCCACCGACCCCCGCGACATGCGTTATATGCGCGCTGGGAGTGTGGATGAAAGAAGAGGAGGGGTGGCCAAACGAGTACAATCTAGGCCCTTACTTCGACGTTGGCCTCGGTTAGGACCTCGGACCGTAGCCTAGAGGTAACGAGCTTGTCTCATAATCTTGCGGTGCGGGTTCGAATCCGCTTAGGAGTGGGCGTCCTCACGATATACTCAGTCCGCGTGCGGCTGGTGGTGATCGCATGGCAGCGAAGCGCCGTTACAGCGTACAGCTGGCATTTATTTTTTATTTCTCGCTTCCGTGGTTGCGGTCCGAAAGACGATGAACACGTTTGGCTGGATACACTTGCTAACATGGCTAGGAACTGACCTCAGTGGCCTTCGTCTTGTGAGTTTTTCGTCCCTCATCCATCTTAGCCTGCTGCTGCAACCGCGATCTCTTTTCTTAGCGTAACAAAATTTTACATAATAATATTTTTGCTGCAAAGTAATCGGCTGGTAGATTTCTGGAGCGGTGCACAACCGTTACTGATAGCTCAGCTGATGTGCACCTGTCATGTTTTTTTCTTATGTATTCCAGCATAACAGCTGCGGTGCTTTCCTGCTCTAGTTAAGGTGTATATGCTGTTTATTTTGCGCGTTTTCTTTCGTTCGCGGCGTCAGCTGCTTTATATCTTGCTAATGATCATCCTTACACCAGA